ACAAAGACGCATGTATGAATTGAAGAATGCCACATTCACCTCATCCACCCCACATCTCCTGGAAAAGGGTGTGTTTAACTGGTTACTCACCAATCTTGACAAGAAAAGTAGACTGTGCATTAAAGGCTTTTAACCTAAAGCTGGACTTTTAAGTAATCTTGTGGCGATTGAACACCTTCCCATCCTCCATTTTCTGCGCTCAGGAGCTTACCGTACATGTGAATCTCACATAAGCAATTATAGCGCTGTAGTCAACAACCCCCTTCCTTACCATAACGTTTGCTAGTTACAAACCTACATGTAGACTGACGTAGTCTGGCAGTCAGTGTGTTAACTCCCGCGCTGGTAAGTGTCAGCGACTTCAGCAGGCCGGAGCCCCGTGTTTGCCCAGTGATGTACCGCCGCACAGAAGGACACGTTTGGATATTTTTCTGAAAGGACCGCAACCGCTCCCAGTGACACCTGAACGGATTTTAAAACCACCGCCTTTGTGCGCAGCTCAAGCGCGAAGTCCGGCGTATCCAGGTTTGTTGGCGAATCAGCCAGGCGTTCGGCTGTGCAAGCAAGTCTGCAAGCTTAAGCAAGTCAGGGAAAACTTACCAGGTCGTTTGTTGTACTCCCATGAAAACCCTGGTTGTCTTGGCGACGCCTCTAGGGCGGTTCCAGCATGAAATAATGTTCATCTCTCTACTATAACAACAAGCTTACCACTACAACTGAGCTGATAGAGACTAGGGACTATCTCCTTTATTCACATGTGAATGAATAACAGATGTGATCAGTGTGGACAATCTGTGGACAACTTCCTGTTGTGCTCTTTAGAGACTTTTAGAGGGGCTTGATTACTAAGTTATTGACATGTAATTAAGCCAAAATAGTGGAAATCACCAATCAAGTCATAACAATATGTTGTCCACTTTTATTGATCTGTTATTGTCGCTATTACTGTTAGTGTGTTTCGACCGATTGGTTTAGAGTCGTCTTGGCCTCTTCGTCCATCCGTGCTCCGGATCAGTGAACAAATGCTATTACTGAAACCAAAAGAACACATATTATGGCATCATCGACTAATTATCAAAACGCGTACGCTTGTTGCTTTAAATGTTAAAAGTCGATTTCTCAGTTTTGGCAATCTTTTGTCACGAATGATGTACGATACGTAAGGAGAGCATCCCAAACAAAGTTACAAAAAGTTATTATGAATAGAGAAGATTTCTTTACATCTAAAGTGCAATATGCAATACAATTTCAGTAGTATTGTTCAACGCGAGTCATATATTTGGAGTGATTTTACCTTGGATGTTGTCTCCTCCGATGGAATCTGTGTTGGTTCGAGCTCGGGGAGTTTGGATGGAGAGGAGGTTGTGGTTTCATCTGGTTGCTGAAGACAGGTGTTTAACATCAGGCATAAAAGTAGTACAAGTGTTGTTATATACATGTGTATGAGGGGAAACTAAAGAGCAACACATAGGCTAACATAATAAGTAACACAGATACTTGGAAACCAGTCTATAGTTTTGAATCACTTATTTCATAGGTCCAAGATCTACATGTACTGTTTTTGTACTGGAATGTACCGCGTTTTGGAATGCAACATTTATTTATACAAAATGCGAATGAATTCTTATCTATGACTTCTCAAAAGAAAGTACTATTAATATTTGTCCTGCTGTGCGCAACATATGTTGCGCGGCACATACAGTACCATCTATATAACACCCTGTATAGGTACGATTTGGGGGTATTTCTCGAGCAACGCATCACACCGCAGCGAAACGCAACAAATGCGGAAGTAACTATGCCACTGCAGGGCAAAAAAAATTTGGGGGTTTATGATCTAATTAAGACATAAAATTATTGAAAAATATTGTGCCAGGAATGCCAGCAGGACAAGGGTTAACTGTGCTGCACTAGAAAACAGGAGGTGTTGATGACGTTGGATGACGTAAATGACGCTCACCCGGTACTCGTAGACAAACCGGAACCCCCGGTCTCCCACACTGCCGTCACTCCGGAACCGGATTCTCAGGGATTTCGTGCTCGTGACGTCATCCGGCTTCTCCGTGCCACACCAGCGACCTGTTGCACATGCAGGGCGAAACAGACCGGGCGATTGAACCTTTGAACTCCAGCTAAAAATTATATCTACCCTTAAAATCAAGCCCTTTTATCTAAAGCTAGAGGATTGATCTATTGTATTGGTAACACCAGCTAGTTGCTATGAATGAATGAATGATTGAATGAATGAATGAAAGCCATGTATATTAAACCAAATGTGAAATCTTCTAGATACTTGTCATAATGTTTCCATTTAAATGATAAGCATCATTATGGTTTTTAAAACTCCATACCCAGTTGCGTCCCGTCCTCGTACATGTCCACCCAGTCGTACAGACAGGTGGTGAGCCCGGTGAATGACGTTTCCGTCTGGAAGTCTGTGAAGGTGACGGTGACGGGAACACCTGTGGCCGGCAGGGTCCAGGTACAGTCCAGGAAGTTATCGTACTCCTCGGGATACCTGCACCAGGTGGTTCATCAACGTTCTATTTTTCTTTTGTTTTATTTCTTTGCACTCCAACATGTACATGAGGGGGGAAACCCAATACGGCT